TCCTCCTCCTCCTCCTCCTCTTCCTCCTCCTCCTCCTCCTCCCTCGCTGTCCGTTCCTTTCCCCTCGTCATCCTCCTCCCCCGCCCTCCGTTCCCGCTCCCTCCTTCCCGCGCCGTGTCCCGCGGCGTGTTTTGCATGCCGCGCGCTGTCGTGCCAGCATCGGCCACGAGGCGCTGCTCGTCATCTGTGCCCCCACCGCGGCCCCGCCTCGATCGCCACGGGGCCTCCCGCCGAGGGCCCGGGCGCCCCTGCGGGGCCCGCCCGCGCTGCCCCGCGGCCGGACGACGCCAGGCGCCCGCAGCGCCGCCGCCGCTCGGGCTCTATTGGGACGCGCAGGGGCATGGCAGCACGACGTTTCCTTCTTGGAGGCGCGCGTCCGACCAGCTCTTGCAGTGTGCCCCATCTTGCAGTAGACCGTTTCCCGAGCGGTGTGGCCAGAAAGCGCCCGCCGCGACGCACGTACTAAAAAGTTTCTCCATGCGCGCGTCGCCCCTGGAGGGGCGTCGAACATAGAGAGGCCTCCTAGATGGGGTCGGAGTAGATGGAGTCGGAGGATCGCGCCGCATCGCCGATACATCGGCGATGCATCGGCGATACATCGGCGATGCATCGTCGATGCACCGGCGATGTATCGTCGGGCGATGCATCGGTGACGTGGACGTGAGGCAAACTGGGCCCCATATCGAGCCGCATCGGCGATGCCTCGGCGATGCGGCGCGATCCTCCGACACCATCTACTCCGACCCCATCTAGGAGGCCCAGAGCATATAGTGCAGTCGGCTTCGATTGGAGAGCACACGCGCAAGAGGACACAAGACCTTCCGAGGGCCACACTGCCACAAGGAGCAGAAGGCATGTGTCGCGAACACACAGGACGCAAGAGTTCCCTCGGCTTGGCAGGGTCGTACTAATCTGGCTCGGCTGCATCAGTATGGAAGGGGCCCCAGGACACACAAATTCGCCGGCCCAACGGGCCAGAGGCGTGCTAAGATCTCCGGTAACTTGTTAACAATATTTCTAGTTCGCGCGCGCGGAGCGGCCCCTGGGGGCCCCCGGACGAAAAGTACCCCGGCAAGGTCCCGAGAGAAGCCCGGGAGAAGCCACCAGACCACTCCAGGGGAGGGTATTTTTCGACACCCCTCACGAGGATCGTGGCCTCCGAGGGGGGAGCCGCAATCGACTACCCCCAAGAGCCCCCCAAGAGGCCCTGGGGGCCTCCAAAACGCCGCCAAGGAGCCCCAAGAGACTCCCAAGAGGTCCCCAAGAGGCCCCCAAGAGGCCCTAAAGAGGGCTCCAGGGCCGGCGGCATGAGCGAAGCGATTATAATAAATACACAAATAAAACAGATTCCCCATATTTTCCCATATTTTTTGGTTTTTTTGTCTTCCCCCCCACTTCCCGTATTTTTGCATATTTTCCTGGGAGTCGACGATTAATTGTGTCTGTGTGTTTATTCCCCTCCTGAAGTATGTCGGGGCGGCGCCGATCTATCGCCCCGGGGCGTCACGGAGCGCTCGGCCGCCGCCGCCGCCGAGATGCTCGGCGCGCCGCCGGCCGGCGCCGCCGTGGCTCGGGTGGGCCCAGGGGCGGGGCCCCCCGGGGAGCTCCACCCCAGGGCCCCGCGCGGGAGGACCCGCACGTCGCCCCCCGCGCGTGCTTCGGCACCCCTCGCGCGCTGCGTGGCCGCACGGAGGGAGCTCCACCGGACGCCCTGCTGGGTGGGCACACGTGCCACTGCCGCACCCATGTTGGCCCCCCCCCCCCCCCCATGACAGGCTCCGCGGCCCCATTGGGGAGCTCCACCGGAGGCCCCAGCGGGAGGGCCCGCATGCCATGGGTCGTCCCAGCGCGCTCCCGAGCGCTCTCACAGCGTTCTGGAGAGCTGCGGAACGGCCGCGGCGCCCGATATATATATATATATATATATATATATATATATAGCCCCTCCAGAGCCACCAGATCTCAGAGATTCCCGATGCGTCCAGGCCCGACTTTGCCTCGGCTTTGGCCTCGTCTTGGTGGCGCGCCGGGGCCGCGGAGAGCACAATCACAGTGGCGGGTGTCTGGGTTACGGCCTGCGCGCGGGCGGGTGCTTCAAACTCCTGGTCGCGCCAGTCGACAGCGACACCCTCTCCTCGAGTACATCCAAGTTCGCCATTCGCGTTACCATGATCATCACGACCAACATCAGAAGGATCAAGATCACCACCAACATGACTATCATGACTACTGGCCACCAACATCCTCATCAAGATCATCCGCTATCCCGCCTTATTCGGTTCCTCCTCCTCATCCTCCTCCTCGTCCTCGTCCTCCTCCTCCTCCTCCTCCTCCTCTTCCTCCTCCAGCTGGCCGAGGCTGAGGCACCCCCACTCGCACTCCTGGAGCTACCCCGACGGCGACGGTTCTGCTGCGAATCGAATCGTACACCAACCCTGCGTGCTAGCTCGACCCGCCGCTGTCGCTGGGAGGCCCAGCCGCGCCTGCTCTCCTTCCTCTTCGTCGTTCAGGTAAGCGCCCTTGCTCAGGCTGCTTGGTGCGATTACAAAGCCGTTCACCCAAAGGATTGCCGGCAAACTTGCACTGCGTACAGTTCGGGCACTGCCGCAAGAACCCCCCGCAAGAAACCCAACCCTGAGAACCCGTGCGCGAAGTGCACCTGAGGGGAAGCCCAGAGCACCCTGAACGCAGCAGCTCCCTCAACGGCTGCGGGAAGTCACCGCGCAGCGCTCGGAGCGAAGAAACCCAGGATACCCTGACGAAAAGCATCTGGTTTCTTGATGCGCGCCCCCACTGTACTCCAAGCCGCGAAGCTCCATGTCAAAGGCAGATTTGGCATCAACGACAGATCCAGAACAGCACCCTGCCACCACTCCCTCAGGACTTTGCTCGTTCCCTCCATGTGCAATCAGCTGCACGCCGAAAGCCCCTCCGACATCAGGTACGAAGTCGCCGTCCGGAAAACACTGCAATGTCGCCGCATATTTGATGATATGTTCCTTGACGATGCGTGTACGCTCCTCTTCAACAGGCACTCTATTCACCTCCCCTCCCCCTTCCTGCTCCATCACCCCCCATCCCCCGCCCTCGCACCCCTCCCTTCCCCCACCCCCACCCCCTCGCCACCTTCACGCTCAATCGAACCTCCTCTTCTATGTTCACCTACATCCTCCCTCTCCCATCCTCCCTCCCTCCCTCCCGCGTCGAGCCCATACTTTGGCAAACAAGGGCTCCCAACTTCGCGCTTCGCGCTGCGCGAAGCGCGAATAACTTCGCGCTCTCGCGCCGCTCCCCCAAGAAGGAGAAAAGGAGGACGAGGAGGAGGGGGAGAAGGAACGAGGACCGCGAAGCGCGATAACTTCGCGCCCTCGTGGGAGCCCTTGGTAAAGCAGTCTTTGTTGCAGCGCCGCCCATTCTGACTGGTCCCTGAGCCGAATCGGATGCAAAAGCCGAGAAGCCGGTGGCTGGCTCCTCCCTCCTCCCTCGGCCACACCATCCAGCTTAATGATCACCACATCATGTTCGCCATCATCCTCGTCATGATCGTCAGCACCAGCGTTGCTGGAATAGACGGCATCACCACCATCGTCCCAAGCACAATTCACCATCCTCCTCCTCCTCCTCCTCCTCCTCCTCCTCATCATCATCATCATCATCATCATCATCATTACCCTCATCATCATGATAATCATCATCAGCATCACCACCAGTATCATCATCATCATCATCATCATCATCATCATCATCATCATCATCATCATCATCGACATCAACATCAGCATCATCATCATCATCATCATCGTCATCATCATCACCATCATCATCATAATTCTCATCGTCATCCTATCCATCGTCATCGTCATCGTCATCATCATCATCATCAGCATCATCATCACGATCATCATCATCATCAGCATCATCGGCATCGTAATCATCAACATCATCATCATCATCATCATGAGCATCATCATCAGCAGCATCGTCATCGTCATCATCAGCAGCAGAAACGTCTGCATCAGCATCAGCATCACCATCCGCATCAGCATCAGCATCCTCATCCTCATCCTCATCCTGTTCATCCTCATCCTCATCAGTACCATCATCATCATCATCATCATCATCAGCATCACCACCATCAGCATCAGCATCATCATTCTCACCACCATCATCATCCTCTTCATCCTCTTCATCCTCATCCTCAACCTCATCCGCATCATCATAGTCATCCTCCTCATCATCATCAGCCGCGTCCTCATCCTCTTCATCCTCTTCATACTCATCCTCAACCTCATCCCCATCATCGTCGGCATCATAGTTAGCATAATCATCGTCAACATCATCATCACCATCATCATTGTCGTCATCATCCTTGTCATCAGCATCACCACCATCATCATCATCACCATCATCATCAGCATCATCATAAGCATGAGCATCATAATTTCCATCATCATCACCATCATCATCATGCTCATCATTACCATCGTCATCATCTTGATCATCATCATCACCATCATCATAATCATCGTCAGCATCATCATCATCGTCGTCGTCATCATCGTTGAAACCATCATCAGCATCAGTATCATAATGATCATCATACCATCAGAGTTAGCATCATTATCGTCATCATTACCATCGTCATCATCTTGCTCATCATTATCAGCAGCATCCGAATCAGCATAAGAATCAGCATCAGCATCAGCATCATCATTACCATCATCATCGTCTGCGTCGCCATCATCAGCAGCATCACCATCACCATCACCATCATCAGCATCAGCATCATCACCACCATCACCACAACATCGCAGCCCTCTCCTCCTCTTCCTCCTCCTCTTCCTCCTCGTGCTCCTCATCCTCATCATCAGCAGCATTATCATCAGCACTATCAGCATCGCATCATCATCCTCATCATCCTAAGCATTATTCTCATCATCATCATCATGATCAAACTTACCCATCATCATCAGACTTAGCATCAGCATCATAATCCTCAGCATCACCAACATTATCAATCCTCATCATAAGCATCATCATCAGCAGCAGAATAATCCTCCTCATCATCGGCATCATCATCATCATCATCATCATCAACATCATCATCATCATCCTCATGCTCATCATCATCATCATCATCATCAACATCATCATCGTCAACATCATCATCTGACTCAGCATCAGCATCATCATGAGCATCAGCATTAGCATCATCATCAGCATCATCATCATCATCAGCAGCAGGAACACCATCACCAACAATACCATCGTCCGAATATCCCATATTCTACCACTGCTCACCGCCCTCATCTGAGGAGCGAGACCAGAGAGCTGCGTAGGCAAAACGCCCGGGAAAAAAATGAAGGGGCCCTGGGACACACAAATAAATACACACAAATAAAAATATTCCCCATCTTTTCTTATATTTTCTGGGTTTTTGTTTTCCCCCCCAATTCCCAAATTTTACTATATTTTCCTGGGAGTCGACGGTTAATTGTGTCTGTATGTTTTTCCCCCTCCTGAAAAAAACAACCGGAAGTCTGGCTGAACTCCTGTGTCAACGTGGAACAGAGGCGTCTATCCCCACGCGCGCTCCTGGCACTCAACCAGCTGCGCGTACACGGCAGGCATCGCCTCCTCCAGGGACGAGAAGTTCTCGACCCTCTCATCCTGGCTGGCCGACACTTCCAAAGCCGCTGCCACTGCACACCATAAGAAGCGGATACTTACCTGTACGAAGGAGAGGACAGGAGTAGACAGGAAAAGGAGGCAGCAAGAAGGCAGCAAAGATCAGGGAGAGGAACGAGAGATGAAGGAGCACACAAAAGGGTGGAGGATGTTGCAGGGAAAATCGAAGAGCGAAGCAAAGAAGAAGTATGGAGGAACCATGAGCGATGGCAAGGGGTGGAGGAGGAAGGACGGACAGAAGAAGGAACAGGGGAAGAGGGGTGGAGGGGGAGTGGAATGGGGGAGAAGGGAGGAGCGAGAAGAGGAGGGCGGAGGAAGGAGCCAAGAGGGAGCGAGCGAGAAGATAAGGAGGCAGGGACCAGGAGGGGAGAGGGCAGGAGGGGAGAGGGCAGGAGGAAAGAGGGGGAAGGGTGGGGCACGGAGCCGGACGAGGAGGAAGGACGGGGTAGGAAGGCCAGGAAGGCCAGAAGGAGGATGAGAGGATGAGGGAGGACTAGAAGAACAGAAAACGGCATAAACATGAACTGTTGGCGCTCCCCGCGGATTTCTTGGATCTGCGCTGGGCCCCCCTCTCCCTGGCGCGCGGAGCGCGCCACGGGCGGCGCCGGAGGCGCTGGGGGGGTGGGTGATGATATATTATGCCGATGGACAAGATATCTCTTTTCCATCTTGAGCCAAAATGGGTACACGGAGGAGGGTGTCAGAATAACTCCTCCTCGGGCCTGGCCGCCAACCCGGCCAGGCACGACATGCGTCGTACGCGGGCGCGTCCAAGCCGACACGCCCATCTCCACGTCACACGCGGGCGCGTCCAAGCCGACGCGCCCATCTCGTCAGCCAGGCTGCGGCCATGCCGCGAGCCCCTCACTTCACCCGTCCGGTGCGATCATACCGCCACCGGCGGAAACTCATCCAGCCCCACAGGTAGCGGAGCATGGATTCGATCCACTCCTTCACTTGATATCCTTCTGGGTCGAACTCGGTGCCCGATCCCAGATGTTGAGCGTCGCCATGTGTCTCCTCAAGAGAGATCCACCCACGCTCTTGGTCAGCACGTCCGCGACATTGTTCTTACCAGGAACCGCGGCGATCGAGAGGTCGCCCTTGCCCACGCGCTCCTGGATCCACAGGTATCGGGATTGAACATGTCGCATCTTCCCGAGACCTCGCCGTTGGACGTGGCCCCGGGCCGCCGATGAGTCTGAGGCGAGCTCCACCTTCAGGTCCAGCCCCCAGTCTGCGAAGAGGCTGTGTAGACCCAGGCCCACGCTCCCGCCCTTGACCAGGGCGTAGTACTCGCTCTCCCCACTGCTGAGAGAGACCGTCGACTGCAGATTGCTGCCGTGCTTGATGACGTGATGCCCCAGCATCGCCACGAAGCCTCCCGTACTTTTCCGAGTGACTGCACAGCCCGCATGATCGGAGTCCACGTACACCCGGATCTTGTCGAACATCTTCTGCTCCGTGTAGTCGCCCTGCCAGATCTTGCTGGCGTCCTGCGTGCCGTACCAGGACTTGAGGAGTAAGCCGCACTTGTCCTCGCCGTACTCCTTGCGACTCTCCTCCTCCAGCTCCACGAAGATCCTCCGCTGCGCCTTCCCGTAGAAGTGCGCCCTGCTGATGTCGAAGAAGCCGATCTTGAAGTTGCCCGGCTTCCTGCCCTTCTTGCGAAGCGACTCCTGAATGTGGAGCGGCGCTTCCCGCGTCCACGTGACCATCAGCGAGACCAGCGACCGCGTGGCCTCCAGAGGAGGCATTGCCGAGAAGACCTCGGACACCTCCAGCTGCTCGTCAGGGCGCTTCTTCGCCTTGATCTCCTTCACGACGAGCCTGCTCCTGTAGTTGGGCCTCTCCGCGTCACCCTTGTTCGTGTCGACCCACTTGAGTGGGATGGGCGGACGCCCAGTCTCGGCGAAAGCCTGAGACCTCGGGACGATCTCGATCAGCTCCTGCTTCTTGACCCACTCGCGCTCGACCGCGCGAGCCTGGGCCACAAGGCCCGCCTCCAGGTAGCCGCCATTGACGTCGTCCCAGTAGCTCGTCCAGTCCCCGGGCGGCACCGCCGCGTCCACAGGGACTGGGCCCGACTGCTGCCCTGGGCGGTGCTGAGCTCCCCCACGTCATTCAGCGTGTCCTTGAGCTCCTCCAGCACCGCCTCCACCAACTTCGGTGGATAGACCTTCGCGAACCGCGCGATGCCGCCCACGAGCGTGATGTGGCGATGCCACTCCGCGCGTCCGTCCACATTGCTGCAAGTGCCCTGCAGTCTCCGGGCTAAGCCTGGGTGGTTGGTGACCCACCCGGTCTCCTTGCGCACGAACTCCTCCTGGCCACTGCGTGGGTTCGTGAGCTTCATGCCCCACCGACACATGGGGCCTTTGACCGTGAAGACTCCTGGATGCGCGACCAGCTCCTTGACGATGTCCTCATTCCACGATCGCGCGCTCCAGGGATGCTCATGCAGGAAGTACCTGCCTGGCTTCCTGAGCTGACGCCAGTAGGCGTCGACTGCCACCTTCAGGTGGTGTCTGGCCTCCTCCATCTCAGCCGCCTCCTGCTCATCGGTCCTGAACTTGGCGCTCAGGCCCCTCAGCAAGCTGAACTTCTCGCATGGAGGGGACCCCGTGAGCAGGATGGGATCCATCCGCTCCTGCTGCTCCTCGAGCTCCTTGACATCCTCGGGTCGCCGCAAGTCCCACGGCGTCCCGTCCTCCTTGAGTTCCTCCAGGTCCGCCGCGAAGCCCGGGCGCAGCTGAAACTCCGCCGCCCGAGCCGAGAACCGATGTGGCGAGTACACCTCTGCCACGTCCACGGCGCCCAGCTGCAACGCCGATAAGGCGATGCTGTCCACCTCTTCGTCGGCGATGTCCACGCCGACGCCGGCCCAATGGCCGCTGACCTGTTCGCGAACGAGCGGGAGCAACTCCGCCTTCGCCCTCGTCAGCACTCCGAGCTCGACCAGCTCGATCGACGCCACGTCGAGAGCGAGCACCCGCATGTGTCTCCCCTCACTGGCGTTCCACACGACTGCCACTCCAGCTGGCAGCTGAGGTCCTTCCGCTGGCGCCGGCTGCGCCGCGAGATCCTCCATGTCCACCGGTACCGGCACGTCTGCCGGCTGTGGATCACCGCGCTCGAGGGCCTCCGGCACGTCATCCGGGGCCACCTCCGCCAAGCGCTTCAGCCGCGACCTGGTCGCGGTCATGTCGACATCCTCGGCGGCCTCTGCCGCTCTCACTGCTCCCGAACTGGAGCTCGCTCCTCCTGAAGGAGCCGCCACGCCGGAGCCTGATGCTCCCGGCTGGCTCTCTCGCATGCGCGCCGCTGCTGCTGGCGCTGCTGCTGATCGGCTCGCGGCCGGCGCCGACGCCGCCGCTGCCACTGGCTCGGTGATCCTCCGAGCCGTCTTCGGCGGAGGGGTCCCTGCCGCGGCCGCTGCCGCCGGGCGGACTCTGGCCTCTTGGCCCTGCCTCCGCTCTCGATACTGGCCGGTCCTCTCCCGGCCTGCCTCCTCAGCGTCCAGCGCTTCGAAGATTCTCTTGCTGCACACCGCGTTGTGCGCATGGCCAGCCAGCACCTTGCCGTGCTTGGCGATCGAGACGCACCCTGGGCATCCCGGCGTTGCGCCCAGCCGCTCGACGTCCGCCTTGAGAACGTACATCCTCCTCGGCGCCTGCGGCTGCGGCGGCACCGCCACAATCGGTGGCGGACCGGCCTCTCCCGGTCCGACGATGGCTCGCGGCGCACTGGCCGCACGCGGAGCCACGTCCCACGGCAGGCCCTTCAGGCTGTCCCAGCCCGCCGTGATCCACTTCTCGCTCTGCGGCAGGCTGCGAAAGCCGACCGCCTTCTTCACACCGTCGCTCGTGATGACCATCATCGAGCCGTCGCGCGGGTGGTGGCCAATGTAGCGGGCCTCCACCATCTGTTCCTCCAGCGCGTTCTTCCTCGTGCGCTCCCCGGCGAACCGCACCATCAGGCGCTCGCCGAAGAGCGGGACCGGCTTCCTCCACTGCCGTCCCGTGAGCCGCTGAAGAGCGGTCTTGCCGTCCTGGCCGCGCCTGTATCGGTTGATCACCGATGCGGCGTGCTCCGGCAGGTGCGCTAGCACTGGGTGCTTGTCCTCCACCTTGACGCCCAGCTTGGACTCCAGGTCCATCTTGAGCGCTCGCACCTGCTTCTTGATCTCGCGCACCGTGACCTCGATCTCCCCATTGGCCTGATGATCGGCCGGTGCCGACTCCTGGGGAATGGCCTCGAGGCCAGGAACCTCCTCCACCGCACGCCTCTTGACCAGCAGGATCGCTGGCTCGCCGTCGGACTTGTTGACGATCTTCCTGTAGCCCAGGATCCGTAAGAAGCGTGCGAAGAACTTGATGGCGTAGGCGTCGTCGCCCTTCTTCTCCACGAATGTCGCTGCCATCATCTTCGAGCGTCGATCCCTAAGGACCAGCATCGGCATGGTGTCCGCGTCGTCCTGGCCCATGAAGGCGTAGTCGGACGAGACCACCGGCACCGCCGTCTCGTCGTCCTCCGGTGCGCGGAGATGCGGCTGGCCTTGGCCCTTTGCCGCAATACACACGCGACACCAGCTGCGGTAGGTCGCGTGTCCCATCGCCTCGTGCTCGACGATCTCCCTCTGAGAGGGCTCGTGAGGTGCCTTCAGCACCCTCGGGCGAGCCTCCTCCTCGCCCTCGTCGGCCTGCTGTCCATCAGGAGCAGCTGGCAAAACGTCGGCCGCGGCAGCTGCCGCTGGCTGAAAACCCGGCGGTCTCATGTCGGAAGGTCCCGACCCCGCCGCTGCCACCCCTGCAGCCGATGCCGCAGGGGACCGCGGTATTGAGTCTTCCAGTGGACTTACGCCGAGGGCTGCCTCCTGGGGACTGTCCTCTCGAAGATCTCCAGCAGCTCCTCCTTCGACTTGCCGCTGAGGAGCTCCACCAGCTCGGACTTCGACTTCGCCGAAAGTCCCTCCTCGAGAG